TATATATATATATATATATATAATATATATATATATATATATATATATATATATATATATATTTCCTGAATAATATACATTCCAGAAAAATTAATTTGACTTTCATGATTTTCTTAAATGATTTTTGATTATTTATTATATAATTTAATATTTTGTATATATATATATATATATATATAAATATATATATATATATATATAATAATAATGGCAATCATGTGAAGATAAATTAAAATATAAACTTTAAAATATTTAAATGTATTTATTAAAATTTTAAAAAAAAATTTTTTTTTATCCATGTTGTCGATTATAAAATAAATATTAAATATACTATAAATGTATTTTCATCCATTTTAAACAATCGTCAAACATCCAAAAATTTTAATTTTAAGCTAAAAAAAATTAAATTTAAAAATTTTAATCTTTTAAAATAATAATATATATATATAATTCATAAAATAAAATATATAAACCTACACATAATATTATATATATATATATATATATATATATATATATATATATATATATAATTGGTGTCATATTTATTTTTTTTAAATGATTAAAATTTTTTATTTTTAATTTTGTTTGGTTTAAAATTTTGAAATTAAATATTTTTTGTCCTGAAATTAAAATCATAATCAAAAAAAAATTTTATTAAAAAATTGTTAGACATCAATCTTGGATTTATTGGAAAAAGTTAAAAAAAATATATATTTATTTTAAATTCTTGACAAAATATTTAAATCATGTAATAAAATTTGCTTATATCAAAGATGCCATTGTATAAATAGAAATTCAATTTATTATTTAAACCAGAGATTAATGTCATTATTCCTCGATTTTTTCAGTAAAAAGAAAATTTAATAAATTATTAAATTTGTCAAAAAAAAAAGAAATTTTTAAATTAAACACATTTTTTTATAAAATGACAACAAGGATAAAATTTTAATTGTATAATATATATATATATATATATATATATATATATATAAATAAATATTTATATATAATTAATTTAAAACATTTTTTTTATTGATTTTTCTAAAATACTCTTTTTTTAAAAATTTCAAAATTTCATATATAATTAAAATTTAATTTTTTAAAAAATATTTGTAATTTTTTTTTATTCTTTTAATTCTAATTTTCAACCTAATTTTTTGAAAAATGTATTACGAAATAATATAAGGTTTTAAATTATATTGCATAAATTTCAATTTTTAAGAACTAAAAATAATTATTTTATTTTCTTTTTTTATATATCTAAAATGGTTTCAATATTATAATTTTTTTTAATTGAATTAATGAAATATTTAAAATTTATCAAATAAATAAAATATGAATTCAATTGAAACAATATATATTTTAAATATATATATATATATATTAATAAATAAATAGTTCAAAAATTTATGCCGTGGATACATTCTTTTGAAAAAAAGAAACATATTTTTATATATATATATGTATCTATATAATAAATAATATATGAAAAAAATTTTCTTGATATTTATAATTCATATATCATTAACCAGTTTATTGATATCAATAATGAAAGATTGTTATATAATCTTTATAATTCTTTCATTTTTTGGATTCCAAAGTAAATTTGGAAACTTTGATGTTTTAATTCAATATAAATAATAGAAATCAAAAATTGCAAAAAAAATCCAAATTAGATCATTAATGATAAATACGAATAAATATAAATTTTAAAATATTAAATTATTAAAAAATGAATATTTACAATATATAAATATTTTCTTTCAATTTCAAATCAATCCACTTTTAATTAAAATAAATATTGTCAAAAAACAACATTATATATTATATATATATTAATTCATTTATTAAATAAAATAATATATATATATATATATGCCTAATATTTATAAATCATATTATATATATAATATTAAAATGAATATTGGGTAACGTACCATTTATGATTTAAATGTTCTATATTTAAATAAATATTTTTTGGCATTAAATAATATCGACACTTTAATAAATATTTGATAAATTCATCTTTTCAATATATAAATATATATATATATATTAATTATATATATATATATATAAATTTTTTTTGTCCCATATGAAATACTTTTTTAAATTTGTTCATATATATATATTTGTATATATTATATTTGATATATAAATAATGATAAAATATATATATATTTAAAATTTCACATGTAATATTATATATATATAAATATATATTTATTATATAAATATATTTATATATATATATATATATATATTATGGCATGTTTATAATATAACGTATATATTTGTTGTATATATATATACAAAAATATATAGTTGTTTTTGATGGAAACGTATATATATATATATATATATATTTTATGGATATTTATTATATTATTCCAAAAAAACATATAGTCATTAAAAATTAAAATATTAAATGCCGATAACTATATTTTACTTGGACAAACCTTAATTGTTTTATGACCCTTCACGCAGAACTCTTCATTGACAATTCTAGAAAAGAAAATTCGGATTGCCAACACACAAAACAGAATGTCTCATATCGAGAATATTCCACATTGAACATGAAGAAAAATTAATTATTTTTTTAATAATATGTAAAAATCTCCACTTTCACCTGAAGACGGTTGCGAGACCAGACCAGAAACACGTGTCGTGAAATTATGTAAAACAAAGTATAATATTTTTTTCTCAATAAATCCACATTACAACCAAAAACGTTTGCGGCACCCCTCTTTTTTAATATATATATATTTCTCTCGTTGGAACCATATATATATATATATATATATATATATATATATATATATATATAATATTTATATATATATAATTATTATATATATATTTTAAAAAATATATAATTTATTCCGTATTATAAATTTCTATAATATAAAATCATTTATTTATATTCAATTTAATAATTGTTTTCCTTCTTTATAAATATTTGTTATAACGAAAAAAAATATATAAATATTAATATATCAATATATATATAAATGCTATATGACAATGTGGATAATATGTGTGATAATATTAAATATTATAAAAAATTTAAAAAAAATCTGACAATTTGTCTTTTTATTAATTTTCAAAATTTAATGGAAAAAAATATAAAATTAGCATTTAATTTTTTTTTCAAGAAATTATGACATTCCTTATTATATATTTCATATCCATTTTTAATCTATTTATCGGCCATATATTTATCGTTATATGATTTATTTATATATAATAAACTTCTTTGCCAACCCTATATATATACGGTATATATATTTATATATTAATATATATATAAATAATTTTTATAAATTTTTGTTTTTTTTCATTATTTTAAAAAAATAATATATATTTATTTTTTCAAAATATTTAAAAAAAATATTTATTTCTAAAAGTTTCTTTAAACGAATTTGGAATTTAAATGACTTTTTATATATATATCTAGATATATATACAAAATATTTTAAAAATTAATTAATTCTTTTTTCAGATATAATTAAAAATATTCATATATAAGTACATTTTTTATATTTCATTCTTTCAGCAATTACTTCAATTTTGATGGGACATTTTTACAAATAAATAAATAAACAAAATTTGACAAATTACTTTAAACGAGAAAAAAATCAACCCAATTAAAACTTTAAACCACTAAAAAGGAAAAATGAGTTGTTTAATCTAAACTGCATATCTTTCATAAATATACAATGAAACACATTTTTTTTTTTTTAAAAAACATTTCTTTAAAATGACATTTGTCTTCGGATTTTAATATCTTCCGGTAAATTTTTTTTTTAAAAATTCGTGAATTTTTTTTATTATATTCTTTATTTATATTTTCTATTTCAATATCGATTTCATATTTCGATGAATAAAAAAAAAGATTCAGTGAGATTTTTGATTATTTTTTTATGCATAAATAAACGCAAAATAAAAATTTCAAACATAAAAAAACATTTTATAAATCAAATATTCATAATAAAAATATTTGCTAAAAATATAAAAACAAATTATTTTTCATGATATTCTTTTCTTTTATTTTTTTTTAAAAATCAAAGTTTTAATAATGTAAATCATGTTACATTTTTTAGATCCGAAGATGTATTTATGATAGTTTCATAATGGTATTGAAAAAAATATATACATATTTTTTCTCGATCAATCATTTGAATTGATGGATTTCTTGTAGTCAAAATTAAAAAATATTGTTAAAAAGATAGGTATTAACATTTTTTTGGAAATATACATATTCTGAATTTTTTACATTAGACTGACAATCTAAATATATCTATAAGAGATATATCTCTTAAACTTACCTGTATAAACATAGCTGATTTTTTTTTTATATGTTTAATCATTTATATTGGTTTTAACCCGTACCCTATGTAATATTTTTATCACTGAACGTTATAAATGAATTCATTTTATAAATATAAATTAAATAAAAAAAAAAAAAAATAATGGAACATCAACACACAATTTTTTGCAAAGGATGAGGGTTAAAGAACCATGATCACCCACGTTCTGAAAGGAATATTGAACATAAAAAAGATTTTTTAATTATATTATTCTAGTTAGGTGATAAACGTTTGATTAAACGAGATCGGCCACCAGTTTAAATGACTAATCTATGATTTTTGAATATTGAATAGAACGCCATATTTAGGTAAATTTAGTAATAATTTAGAGAATTTTTTCAAGATTATAAACCCATCAATTTCTTTTTAAAAAAACCTTTTAATTATCTAGTCGATTGGGGTATGAAAGTACTGAAAGTCTTATTTATAATTTGGTGAATTTTATAAGCTGAAGAAAAGGAAACAAATATATCAAATATAAAATTGTTTGGTCAAAAGATTTCTTCTATCTATCTATCTATCTCCAATCTATCTATCTATCACAATCATTAATTAATTTGCATCTCGACCACATATATATATATATATATATATATATATATATATATATATTTATATATATTTCAGTCTTAATTATTTTAAATTATAATTTGGCAAAAATTTTATCTATCTATCTATCTATCTATCTATTTATCTATCTATCTATGACTGTTCGTATTCCAATCTCATTAAAATTTTCAATTTATCTAACAATCTTTTAATAGATATTAATAATATATATATATATATATATAATATATAGTATTTATAATAATTTAATGCTATGTCATAAATTATTTTATATATATATATTTATATATATATATATATATATATATATATAAAATTTTTAATTATTTTCAATGATTGAATTTAATTTCTATTATTTATCTATTATCATCTTAGATTTTTACAGATTTTATTATCTATCTATTATTTTTCTATTTATCTATCTAAAATCTAAAACTATCAGTCTGTCAATATCTTTATCTATCTATCTATCTATCTATCTATCTTTATCTATCTATTTCTATTTTCTTCAGATTAATCTATCTATCTTTCTATCTATTTCATATCTATCTTCTATTTTATCTATCTATCTTTTTGATTTATCTATACTGATATTTCAATCTATTTATTTCCTTTGAAGATTTTCAGACCAAATGCTCTTTCTCTTTCAATCTCTCTCTCTCTCTCTCTCTCCTCTTTCTATCTACATATATTTGAGCTCAAAAATTGCCTATATATTTTAAGGAACAATTTTAATAAATTGTCGTGATGGTGTCGGTGGCGGACTTCACTTCATAAACAAAAAAAAAAGAAAAATAGTGAAAACTTTTTATCACTTATTATTTTATTTTATTTTATTTTTTTTTCTCTCTTTTCTCTTCAGCGTCTCCGCCCTTCGTTCGTTTGTCAAGGTCGGAAAATTCTTATCCTTATTTACCGTCATTGGTCAGATTTCTTCATCAATTCCGACAGTTATATCATTCAAACATATAGAATTTTTAAATATTCAATTTTAAATTTCAAGTTTGCCTGCCTTTTACAAATCTAAAACTATCTATCTATCTATCTATCTATCTATCTATCTAAAAATCTATCTATCTATGTTTTTATCTATCTATCTTCCTAATACCTTCTATCGATCTATCTATCTCAGTCTCAACAAAATCATATTTAATCTATCTATCTATCTATCTATCTATCTATCTTATTATGTTTTTTATCTATTTACCTATAAAATCTTTCGATCCATCTATCTTAAGTTAATTCAATTGATATCTATCTATCTATTTTATTATCTATATCTATCTATCTATTTTATCTATCTATTATAATATACTATTTATCTATCTATCTATCTATTTATCTATCTATCTATCTATCTATCTTTGTTTATTTTCTTCTATCTATTGTTTACATCTAACTCTCTCAGTATGTTTAGATCTATCTATCTATCTATCTATCTATTTATCTATCTATCTAATCGTAGTATGTTCAAATTATCTGTGTTCATTATCTATCTATCTATCTATCTATCTATATCTATCTATCTATCTATCTATCTATGAATATTAACTTTTATCTATCTATCTATCTATCTATCTATCTATCTGTTCATTTCTATGTATGCATATATGTATTATAACAAAAAATGTATGGATAAATTGACGTTTAAATTACACAAAAAAAAAAATAAACACTGACATCTCATTTTAACAATATTTATTTATCTAAAATAATAAATATATATATATATATATATATATATATATATATATATATATATATATATATATATATACTTGAAATACTAATGATGAATTTGTTCCATAAAATGAAATTGCATAGCATAATAATGGCCTCCAGATGACTTGTAAAAAACCTCCTGTGACTTTTTTGGACGGTCTCCTTTGTTTAAAATTAAGCGAAATATGCCAAAATCCTTGAAAAAAAAAGTTCATCTTTGGTGTTACAAAATTTTAGCAGTTTTTTGAACAATTTTTTTTGTTATAATAATAAAAAATATATTTTTAAACTTGCAAATTAGATGGTTAGATGTAAACAGTGATTTGGCATATATAGAAATGGTCGACAGACATTAATACATCAATGCTTGTATGAAAAATGATAAAATTTGACAAAGGACACAATAAATTGGAATTCTTCTGATGAGAAATAATGGACAATTAAAAGTTTAATTTATCAATAAATATTGATATTTTCCGTTTTGACTGCATGGGACTAAAAAGATTTAGATGGAAAAACTCTAGATCGCTCCAAAAAACCTTTGATCACCATTATTATATATATATTTGCAAAAAATATTGATTAATAAAGTCGTATTGAAGTTTTCCGAAATGTTCATAATTTTAACGTTTGACAAATTTTTTTTTGGTATGAATCGCATATCATGCATTTTTCAAATTTGGATGGTTCTTTCTTTGTCACCAAATTTGAAGAAAAAACAAAATATATTTTTTTATATATATTTTTATATATATATATATATATCCATATATATATATATATATATATATATATATATATATATAAATTTTTTTTTTTTTTATGTTTAAATTTTTTTTTTTTCATAAAAATATTTAAAAATAAATGCTCTGTTTATAATAAACAGTATTAAATAATATTTACCGGCCTGAATGTATATATATATAAATTTTTATATAAATATTCATCCTTTGACAGGACATTCAGAAAATGTTATTTAATACTGTTTATTATAAACAGAGCATTTACTTAAATACTTGTATCTATAAAAAAAGAACGTTAAACATAAAAATGTCTTTAATAAATAAATTGTCGGACTTTGTCCATTTCTTAATATATGACGTCATTTGTTTACATTTGATACGCCATGAGCAGTTATGAATGTACGAGATTCATGGAAGATTGAAGTTTATAAGCAGTAAATTCGACCTTGCCTACCGAACGTCCTTTGTGGCCGAGGTTACACGTCAGCGTAAATGACGGTTCCGTATAGGATGCAGGTTCGAATCCTGTCAAAGGACGAATATTTTCTATGAAAATTTCTCGGACATCCAGGCCGGTAAATGTTATTTAATACTGTTTATTATAAACAGAGCATTTACTTAAATACTTGTATCTATAAAAAGAACGTTAAACATAAAATGTCTTTAATAAATAAATTGTCGGACTTTGTCCATTTCTTAATATATATATATATATATATATATATATATATATATATATCTTGAAATACTAAGTAAATTTGTAGAATCGCCAAATTATAAATTAATAAACAATTTACCCATCGCTCACTTATTTTTATGTATATATCTTTATATATATGAGACCCGGGTTCGATTCTCACAATGGTTTGATTTGTTTTAAAAACTTCCTGATGTTATCAATCGACTGGAGGAAAATGGTCCCATTTATGTATAACCTTTGGAAAGTACCTGAAAACTACAAATATATTGATATTAAGCCTTGTGAATGAAATATGAGGGGTAGACGGAACCCTTGGGCACCGTTAATATTTAAATAGCAAGGAATAATCAAAATCATCGTTTTAAAGGGCTTGAGTGTTTTGCCTTTGTTCAAATTGTTGATCACAATTAGATAACATTGCTCTCTCCCAGAAACTGAAACTAACGTCTGCTCAGCAAAGATGCATTAATAAAAAGAATCGTTTCTGTGGGTGTTGAATAAACATAAATGTGCCTGAGCGAGCGTCTGCAATAGGGATTGAGTAGCCGCCATAGTTGACAGATATCCTCGAATACGATTGGTCAGCTGTTTTTTTATCTATCTATCTATCTATCATTTTCTTCACATTAATCTATCTATCTATCTATCTATCTATCTATCTATCTATCTATCTATTTTTTTCTACCATCTATCTATCTATCTATCTATCTATCTATCTATCTATCTATCTATAATTAATCTATCTATCATTTTCTTTACATCTATCTATCTATCATTAATCTTCATCATCTATCTATCTATCTATTTGAATAAAATCTATCTATCTATCTATCTATCTATCTATCTATCTTTCTTCTTCCATCTATCTATCTATCTATCTATCTATCTATCTATCTATCATTTATCTAAAATTCTATTATCTATCTATCTATCCTTTTTATATTCACATTAATAATCTATCTATCTATCTATCTATCTATCTATCTATCTATCTATCTATCTATGACAATTATATATAGAGTGCGAAAAAAGCAAAAAGATATCTCTTTCTTTTTGTCTTTCACTGTTTCTCCGTTACTAAATTGATTTGGGGAGAAAGAAAAATTGACAGTGTGGAAGAAGAGAGAGAGAGAACAGAGAAAAAGAAAAAAGTGAGTGAGAGGTTCATAAAAAATAATTTATGTCTCTTTTAATGTTACAAAACAAAAAAAGAAAAGTTTTTTTTCCCCTAGAAAAAAAGAAAGAAAGAAAAAACGTAGAAGAGAGGAAGAAAGAAAAAAAAAAAAAGAAAAAAAAAAGAAAAGACGTAGAGCGAGAAAGAAAGAAAGAGAGAAAGAAAGAAAGAAAGAAAAAGAGACTTAGAAAGAAATTAGAAAAGAAATAAGAATTAAAAATAAAGAAATAAACGTATTTTTTAAAGATTTTTTGTTTAAAAAAAATAAAAAAAAATAAAAAAAAAAAAACAAAGAAAAATTTCTTAAAAGAAAAAAAAAAAAATGAAAAAAAGAATATTTGAAAAGAGAGAGAGAGATATAAGATTTAGATATTTAGAGATAGCTGTTTTCATTTATCATCAGCCCGTATTATAATTTTCAAAATAGTTTACTTTTATCGTAGCATAATAGGGGAAGTTGGTGGTGGTGGTAGGTGGTGGTGGTTTTTTTTGATTGGAAAAAAAATTAGGGGTTCGGTTGACTTGTGAAGTTGGCAGTGAAGGCAGGGGGAAAAATTTTTGGAGTCAGCAATTAATAAATCATAAATAACTGGCACTGGAGGGGGTCAAATCATATCTGGAGGTAGAATAATTATTTTGCGTAGGCTTTTTGAGGATGGGACCACCTGTCATCAAGATTGGCTTACGCTAACATCGTCCGTGAAATAAAAGGTATAAAACAAAAAAAAATAATATACCGGATAAGCAACTACGTAGGCGACACACCAGTTCATTATCGTTACACTTTTAAATAATAAAATCATACATTATGTATATATATATATATATATATATATATAATGTATAATACAACACACACACACACACACACACACACACACACACACACATTTATATATATATGTGTGTGAATAGGCTGAGATAAACTGAAAAAGACATTGGAATAGATGGATATATAAATATATATTAAGAGAGATGAGGTTTGACTGAGGTTGAAACAGGTAAATATGGACATATTGAGAGAAAGAATGAAAGCCATTGTAATAGATAGATAGATAGATAGATAGATAGGAAGGTAAATAATATTAGATAGATAGATAGGTAGATAAACAGTATTAGATAGATAGATCGATCGATAGATAGATAGATGAACAGTATTAGACAGATAGATAGATAGATAGATAGATAGATAGATAGATAGATAGATAGATATCAACAGACTGAGATAGATAGATAAACGGTATTAGATAAAATAGATAGATAGATAGATAAATAGATAGATTCTTAGATAAACAGTATTACATAGATAAATAATTCGATATTATAAAAATAAAAGATAAATAGATAGATAGATAGATGAAAATAGATATTTTGAATGATAGATGAAATTTACAGTAAATAGATAATAGATAGATAGATAGATAGATTTTAGATATCAACAGACTGAGATAGATAGATAATTAGATGAGCAGTATTAATAGGTAGATATTTAGATAGAGGATAGACAGATATAGATATATATATATATATATATATATATTTTTGTGTGTATGTGTGTGTGTGTGTGTGTGTGTGTGTGTGTGTGTGGTTAAATATGTCTCATAATAAATATGGGCAATTGGCTCTCTGGGGTTAATAAATTGAATTTTTAATTCTGACCAAAGACCCAGGTTCGAATTTCGATTTGATCAATCAAAAGAGATTCCTGATATTATCGGCCATGATCGTTTCCCAATAATAATGCGACGTCTTTTATCCAGAAGTACCTGAAAACTACACCACGAGTCGATAAAGCCTAAAATTGAATAAAATTGGATAAACGGAACCTTGTACGACGTTAATAAATTGCTAAAACGAAGTCACAAGTCACCGTGACCGAGTGTTTGCTGGCCTTGTTCACATTGTTGATCACGCTAGATAACACGCTCATTCCCAGAAACTGTGACTAAGATCTGCTCAGCATAGTTGCAGTATAAATCACAGAGCAGGCGTCTACAACAGGGATTGGCTAGCCGCCCTTGTAGACCAGTGTCCACGAATACAAATGGCCAGCTATTATATTTATACCGGGTGTAAATATACATAATTGTTCAAATCGTGTAACAATTATGTTATAAATCATTCTACAAAATGTTTAATATCTAAAAAAAAAAATATACTAAACTAATTGAGTTTCTTTTTACCGGGTTTTAGATAAGACGTTTCTATCTTGACACCATTTGTCGTAAGAATTATTAAAAAAACTCTTTTGTTATTCAGCTAAATAGAGAACAGGTTAAAATATTTTTTATAAGTCAGTCCCACTATGTATTACCAGCTGAGAAAATGGTGAGAGGAAAAAATATAATTCAGGCCTTCAGTAATGTGTACCAAATATTCAGACTCTATCTTCCATCTTCAAAATGGATTCAAAAACCATTAAGATAACGGTGAATAAGATTAAAAAAGAGAGGGAACAATAGAGAAGAAAACTGGATCAGGAGGTCACAACAGGAAGAGGGGGTCATTATTTCAACTTAGAGCTAAATACATTCATATTGTTTATTCAAGAAGCATCAAGAGAACAGGTTAAAATCGCTTTGTGTTTTACGCTGTTTATTCCCATCTTTAAATGGTGAGAGGAAAAAAGATCATTCAGCCCTTCAGTAATGTTACCAACATTCATACCCTTACTTTCATCTTCAAAGTCCACTAAAGAACCACGAAGAGAACGGTGACTTAAAGTTTAAAAAAGGGGGAACCGTAGCGAGGAAAACAAGACCTGGGGGTCACAACAGCAAGAGGGATTATCATTTCAAATTACAGCTAAATACATTCCTATTTTTCAAAGTAGGCTCCAATAGTGTTATAAAAAACCCTGGGAGAATTCTAGTAAGGTATCTTTAATCATTTCTAAGATACAATGGTTCAAAATTTAATCTAACAATTGGACAATTTTGCTGTTATACGATTTGGACAATTTTATCAACATAACCTAAGCATAAATATATATATATATATATATATATATATATATATTTGTATATATATATAATATCATAAAAATGGATTGCTGTATGTATATATATATATATATATATATATATATATAAATTTATATTTATATATATATATATATATATATATATATATATATATATATATATATATTTTTTTTATATATATTATATATCATATATATAACAACAAATTATTGGAAAGTGTGTAATATAGATAAAGCTAACAAACTCACATTCAATTTATATATTTTTATATATATATATATATATATATATATATATATATATATAGAGTCCACCATTTATATATATATATATATATATATATATATATATATATATATATATATATATATATATAGGTTCACTCCAATATTTGCAAAAAAGAGCATACTATGATGAAAAAAAATGTCCCAAATTTGATAAAAAAAAAGTTTTTTTGCGTCAAAATATTTAGGTTTTTTAAGAGGAAAGACCAAAGAAATTTTTATTAATTATTTTTTCATCCTTTCTAGCACGCTCGAAATTTTGCTTAACATTTTTCTTTTCTTGCGTCAGAGGGGTGGACCAAACATTAGTACGGGGAATTTAGCGGCTTTTTTGCGATAAAAAAACAAAAAAAACATTGTTTTGGAAATTCTTGCAAAAATCAAATAATGGTCGGATTTTAGCTAAATTTTCAGGACGTATTCATAAATGAATTAAATTATTTTTGAGTAATTTTTAGAAAATCTTGGTAAAATATTTTTTTTTTACATCTGTTAACCGAATTAATTTCATGAAATTTCGAGAAATTAAAATTCCACCGTTTTAATATTTATATTAGTTATAAACTCAAGTCTTTGAAGGATGTAAATCAGCCATTTATTTTAGTGTAACAGAACCTCCATTTACCGAAAGTCTGTTCTGAATCGTAAAATAAAAAAAAAACAAACAATAAAACTGACATTATTTAATTAGAAAATCTTCTAAATTCTTTTATAATTAGGGTATATTAAACATACTATTGTCTTAAGAAAAAATATTCTTTCGATGAATAATGAGTTTTTACAAGAATTGTTTCCATTTTTTAAAAAATTTTAATTATAATAATTATTAAAGTTTAAAATTCTTTTAAAATTTTGTTATAATTTAAACCGTTTAGATGATACTAATATCAAGTAAAAACTATAGTTACCAATCATAATTGAAAAAGCTACATTTCAATATGTGTTTCTATATTTTAAAAATAATTTTTGTTTTTTTTTTTTTTTTCCAATAAACGTGCCGAGTTTTTAAAATACGGACGTCCATACACGACATTAGCATAAAATAAGAACGATTACTATAGTAAATAGAAAGCCAACATTTCTAAAATTCAATAAATGATTAGATTATGGAGAATGTTTTCCTAAATTTGTAAAATTACGAAATACTTAAAAATTATATATATATATATATAAAAAAAAAATGCTTACACCATTTTCTTCAATTATGTTTTACAAATAAAGCCCCCGTAGAACGACATTAGATCTGCCATCATGCAGTCAGTGCGTGAAAACCAGAAATTAAAAAATGAATTTCCGCGACACTGTAAACATGAAATAAATAATAGTTGTTTCAAATCAGATTAATTATACTTTAAATCAGCTAATATTCCTCAAATAAAGTTTCAGAAAATTATATATTATTTTTGGAAGATTTTTTTTTTAATAAAGAGAATTACATTGCGATAAAAGATGACTAAAAAAAGGTTACAAATTAGCTATTTTAGCAAAAAAAAAAAAGAAAAAAAAAAGA